TCTTATATTCTTGAAAAAGTGGAACGTCATTTGTACACAAATAAAAGTTGCAATGGTAGTAACACGAAAATGATAATATAAAATAAAATGGCGAATGTCACCATTTTAACATGAAAAATACAACTTAAACCCTTTATTGTCATTTGTATTTACGTTCTTTGATAGAATGATGTCCAAAAATGTGGCCCGATTGTGTCTAACTTGCCCATGTCGATTTCATTTTCTCATTCATATGCTAAACTGAGATTTGGATCACTTACATTATCTCATGCAAAAATTGTCCCATGTGACATGATGAATCTTGGATATTATTCATATTTGAACATTTGAGATAGCAATTATAAGCATTCTGCACAATTAATATATCGAATTTTAATAGCATGCAAATTACACCTACGAATAAATTATTTCAACCAATAGTAAATCTGTGAGATTGATGGTTTAAATGTCTTTCTCAATATTTACTAATTTTTGAGTTCGACATTTTAAATGTCAATCTTGATAGTTTAGTTTGGTAGTGGAACTGTCGGTATTTACGACTATCAACTGATAGAAAGCGTTTAATGGGTGTGATTGGTAGACATTCTTCATAATGTTAAGTGTGTTCAAGGTAACGATGCAATTTAAACAATTTGTAATATATTAAATCTTTCGTTTTATATAAATATGAAACTCTAACTTAGAGGACAAATTTTACGTGGTGAAATAATTATTGTTCATTGGACTCCATGTCACCCACAAAAGTGCCTCATTCCATTCCCTATGCGTGTGTGTATATATATACACACACACAGATGTATGTACGCACACACATATATTTATTCAACTTGGCCTGAAAACATATCAAACCAAAAATGCGCCTCAGTTTTTGAGGCACTTCTTATCAAAGGAACGTAGATCTTCAATCACTTGGCTAGTAGACAATTGGATGCCTTGTCCTAACATCGGCATTAAAACTCCCTCGATCTCGAACATAGATACCATTTAAAGTGTAAACCTTGAAATTACAAAATCAATATGGGGTTTAGTGCACTAAAAATTGGTACACATATAATTATAGATATGAAAGTGTCACAAAAGAATAAACCTCAATGTCAATATTGAATGTCGGACCTTACCAAAAATTCCAGCATAATGAGGAGAAGAAATATCAACACATAAGGATGACCAAAAGATCTCTAAAATTATTTAAAAATAGAGTCATTTACACAATTAATTAAGGGCTGAAAATCAAACTGTAAGAAATTTAAAGGTTGAAAGTTTAAAGATCCAATCTTCCACTCTCTAAAAAATCATATCAGATCAAGGCAAAACTTAAGGACGACAATTTTAAAATTCTTAAATTCGAAGTGTCATTTTCCAATCAAAATAACACTGAAATTTTATATTCTTTTCTTTCACTGGAAAACATACCTCAAAACCCCACTCGACCCCAAAAGGGCCAAAATTTTGGCAGGAAATTTTACAGTTGGCATTAAAAAATAATTTCTATTTTTATGAGTTCAATAAACTTTTAATTCAAAATTGTGTTTTACGTTCAAAAATCAGGATTAATTTAGTGTTTGACAAATTGAAATTATTTATTGCTACGTGGATGTACTATTTTAAAATAGACATTGATTATAATAATGTTATTTTTATATCATCATCATCATTATTAGTGGAAAGATCCAATATGTTTATCTATCTTTATCCCATTTACTTGTTGGAATTAGATTTATCTTGTTAAGTTAAGATCAGACGACTTGATCAAATTAATTTATTCTATTTCCAGATTAAATTAAAGTTATTTCTATCTATACAATATAACACGTTGCAGCAATCAAATCCAAGAAGGTGAGATGGAGATGGAAAGGAGTCCAAATGCCAAAGTGGCAACTTTTGTTGACCATAGTCGTAAGCCTGCCGCCATCGGCAGGCGGCTATCCAAAATCCAACTGGCATTTGACCAGAGTCGTAATCCTGCCTGTGGTAGCGGATATTCAAAATCCAACTGGATATTCAAATTTATAATTCTAATCATACTAATTACATGTTTTAATCTATACGAAAATGAAAATAAACATATTTTGTGGGATGGAGGGAAATAACAATGATGGTACAACACCATCATATGTGTATATATATATAAAATGACCGTAAGTATTCGGGCCAACTTACGCGTACCTTGACATATCTTACAGGGTCTTGAAGTTTATAATCGGGTACTCATTTCAATGATCTTGAGGGATTCGAACTAGTGACAATTGAGGAGCAAACTCAAGACCTAACTACTGAACTACACATCAAGGTATATGTTACATTAAATTATGAACTCAATTAAACATAGAGGCTAGATGACTTATTTCATTCATACTCATTTAATGTGTCACTTAAACTAGTATTGTAGATGCTAAATAACATTACAATTTCTCTTGTCATTTACTTTTTTAAGTTTGTAAAATGGGTTAAGTGATCGATTGATTTTGAAAGTTTACGGATCATGACAAGTAATAAACTATATAATTCAATTCGATTATCATTGTAGAGATTAAATATTTACTATCAATTTTTATTCTAATCTAACTTCATTCTGAATTAATGTGGTGAAAAGTTATCAAATCAAGATGTTTATGTCCTAACTAAGTTAATTAAACTAATCTAAATTATTATAAACATATCTAATATTTACAAAGTTGCGAAGGAATATTGAGATTAAGTGGTTAGGAATTTCAATTTCACCTAGGTTATTTAATATTCAATAAATCCAAATTCACTGAGTCCCTTTTTCATATATATTAACAATCAAATTAATCAATTTTTGTTAATAATCTATCTCGAGCAAATCTAATCTGATTCACATGCCCATATTTACTATTTTCAATGTAAATTCGTAAAGATATAAAATTATTTAACTGTATGAATTCTACCAAGATTGATAGCTTATAACCATCTCTCGGATCTCTTATAACATCTAATTCATTTATTGCACAAACTAGACAAATATACAGGGACGAAGCTACTTGTAGTCCAATGCAAGCGTCTTTCAACTTTGAACTTTGGGCACAG